TAGTGGGTTTTCTGTCAGTCACCATTAGACATGCTTTTCTTTTCTTTTTCTTTTTTTTTTTTGGTACCGGGGATCGAACTCGGGTCCTTCCCGCTTGCAAGGCAGGAGGTGGAACCACTGAGCTAAATCCCCGGCCCCAGACATGCTTTTCATCCAATCCCATTTCTGCACAGTTGGTCCTACTTAGGTTGTGCCTGTGCCATGAAGTTTCCATAGCGCCTCGAAAGGACAGAATTTGCAGAGTTGGATACCTGAACTTGCAGAGGTTCCTGGAGGGTGGCATGCCCACAGAGCTCATGGAAGTGCTGTGCCCCTTCCCACATACTTTACCTCTCTACCTCTCATACCTCTCTCTGTTATCCTTTGTAATGTCATTGATAATAAACTGGTAAAAATAACTGTTTCCCTGAGTTCTGTGAGCCACTCAGGCAAATTAAATGAAGTCCAAAGAAGGATTGTGGGAACCCTAAGCACAGGTAAAATAACCTGGGGCTTGTGACTGGAGTCTTAGGTGCAAGGGTCAAGATGGGGTTGAGGGTCTTGGACCTTATCTCTAGGCCTGCAGAGCTGATGCTGTCTCCAGGTAGTGTCAGAATTGGATTGGATTAGAGAACACCCAGCTGGTATTCGGTGCTATAGATTTGAATGCTTGCTTAATATATGTCAGGGGGAACCCTCATATATCTGGTATCAGAAGCCTTTTGTGTTGATTGTAGTATAAGAGCAGAGGAATTTTGTTGGGTGTGGTGGTGCACACCTATAATCCCAGCACTTCAGAGTTGAGGCAGAAGGATGGCTGCAAGTTCAGGGCCAGCCTGGGCTACACAAGGAGACCCTGTCTTTGAAAAAAAAGGGCTGCCACCTGCCTCACAAGCACAAGGTCCTGAGTTTGATCCTCAGTACCAAATAAAAAAGGCTGAGGAAAACCAAGAAATATTTATTGTTTTTTGAGACAGGGTCTGGCTTTGTAGTTCAGACTGGCCTTGAACTCACTATGTAACCCAGGCTGGCTTCCAACTCGTGGTGATCCTCCTGGCCTCAGCTTCCTGAGTGCTGGATTACAGGTGTGCGCCTCCACGCCTGGCCATAGCTTTTATTTTTATTTTTTAATTTTTGAGATAAGGTCTTGTTTTCTAGTTCAGGCTGGTCTTGAACTGACTGTGTAGTCTAGTCTGGCCTTGAACTCATGATGATCCTCTCACCTCAGCCTCTGAAGTGCTCAGATTACAGGGTGTTCACAGATAGCCATTCTTGGACATGGTTAAAATAATTTCTGTCCTATTGGCTAAAACTCAAGACTAGCATCCTGTCACGTATGAGGCACACCGAGTACTGACTGGTGCTTACTCTTGCTGAGTTAGTAGTCCTGTTTATATTTTATGATCTACCCATAGCAAATTTTTCAGTCTTTGTATGATTGTATGCTGTTTGCAAAAGCTTTTGTTCTGTTTCTTGATCTTATATCTGAAATGCATCTGTTTTTGGCCCCTAGTTGGTTTAGTTAGTGAACACTCATGTTCCAGGGTTGGCTTAGGTTTTACTTTATAAAGCCTTTTATGATTTCTACTTGTTTTCCCATCCCCAGATGGATTTGTTGGCTTTCTTATCTCTTCCTCCTCTCTCATGGTTACTGGGTTTTATCATTGCTCTTTTTTTTTTTTTTTTTTATGGTACTGGGGCTCAAACTCAGGAACTTGCATTTGCCAGGCAGGCATGGCACTGCTGAGATACATTCCAGGTGTGTACTGCTGTACTCTGCTTCTGAGAATTGCATTCATTCAACATGTATGGTATTTTGTAAACTATACTGCAAGGTACTTTATAGGCATTAAACACAAGAAGAATCATAAATTTAATAAATAACCTGCCTTAAGGAATTTTCAAACAAGTTAGGAAAAAAAACACCCCAAAATATAGAGACAAATAAGAACATAGGACTTAGAAGAACATAGAACTCTGTAGCCCTAGATACTCGGGAGGCTGAGGCAGGAGGTTTGCTGGAGTCTGGTGGTAAGTTAAAGGCCAATCTAGGCCACAGAGTAGGCCTCATTTCAAAACAAGAAAAAGAAGCCACTGTTTATATATAGTTATTCTTTGAGTATTTCAAATTCTTTTTTTGGAGGGTAGTACTAGGGATTGAACCCAGGACCTTCACACTGAGCTATCCCCAGCTACCCCCCCCCCTTTTTTTTTCATTTTGAGACAGGGTCTTGTTAAGTGACTAATTTGACCAGGAAGGCTCACAGTCCTCCTGCCTCAGCTTCGCAGAGTGCTGGGAATACAAGTCTGTCTACCATGCCTGGAATGTGTTTCAAATTCTGCATTTTCTCTCATTATTGTTCTAGGCATTTATCTTAGTTGTCAACTGCAGTTTAAAACTATTAAATGGGCTGGGGATTTAGCTCAATGGTGCCAACACTGGCCTCGCAAGCAAGGTCCTGAGTTCGATCCCCGGTACCAAAAAAAAATATTAAATGGCAAGGGCCGAGGACTTAGCTCAGTGGCATAGCGCCTGCCTGGCAAGCTTGAGTTCCTGAGTTTGGTTTCCAGTACAAAAAAAATTGCAAGCTGGGCGTGGTGGCACACACTTGTAATCCCAGCACTCTGGAGGCTGAGGCAGAAGGATTGCTGTGAGTTCCAGGCCTGCTTGGGCTATATAATGAGTTCAGGGCCAGCCTGAACTACAGAGACTCTGCCTCAAAAACTAAAAAAAAAAATTGCAGCCTCCCCTTCTTTGTCAGTACTGGGGATTGAGCCTGGATCAACACCCCCAACCCTTGCTTTTATTTTACTTTTTATTTTGAAAAAGGGTTGCCCAGGCTAGACTTGAACTTGAAATTCTGCCTGAGCCTCCCAGAGGGTGGGGATTACAGGCATGCACTACCACATCCAGCTGGAACATTTCCAAAATAAACAATAGGTTTTAAATTGCACACCATTCTGAGGAACATGCTGAAGTCTTGCATGTACAGCCCAAAGAATGATTATCCTTTTTTTCAGTGTATTCATGCAGTATTTGCTAACCCATAGTAGCTGTCTCAGTTGTTAGATCAGCTATCTTGGTGTTGCATAGCTTTCATTCATTTGTATTACTTAATAGTGGCCCCAAAGTGCAAGAGTAGTGATGTTAGCAGAGAAGTCATAAAGGGCTTCCTTTAAGTGAAAAGTAAGTGTTTTCAACATAAGGAAAGACAAAATAACATGCTGAAGTTGCTAAGATCAATGGCAAGAATGAAACAGTATATATAGTATTTGGTACTGGTAAAACAAACCCAGAAGCTGGGTGTTAGTGGCTTTCCAGTATCTGGGAGGCTGAGGCAGGAGGACCATAAGTTCCAGCTCAGCTTGGGCAACTTAGTGACTTACAAAGATTCTTTTTCTTTTTTTCTTTTTTTTGGTACTGGGGATCGAACTCAGGTCCCTGTGTTTGCGCAGCAGGTGGCGAAACCACTGAGCTAAATCCCCGGCCACAAAGATTCTTTTTCAAAATAAAAAATTAAAAGCAAGGGCCAAGGGTATAGTTCAGTGCAAAGGCTTTGAGTTCAATACCAAGTACCACACACACACATACACACACACTCACATATGAAAAAAGAGGGCCAGAGATTTAGCTCAGTGTCACTGTGCATGCCTCAAAAGTGGAAGATCCTGAGTTTGATCCCCGGTACCAAAAAAAAAAAAAAGTCAAACATAATGTACATAGAATTTGGTACTCTTAGTGACTTTAGGCATCTTCTTAGGATCATAGATTGTATCCCTCATGGATAAGGAAGGTACAAATGCTCTATTTGTTGAGGTCTTAAAGCAATTTTTTTTGGTACCAGGGATCGAACTTGGGTCCTTGTATTTGTGCAGCACGCGGCGAAACCACTGAGCTAAATCCCCAGCCCCTAGCAAATTTTTTTTAAGAAACCAAAGTTATAACCAGTTGTAGTGATGCATGCAGGAGGCTGAGACAGGAAGATGATGAGTTTGAGGCTAGCCTGGGCTACACAGCAAATTCAGTACCAGCCTGGACTATATAACAAGACCTGTTTTAAAATAAATCGAGTAAATATAAAATATAGTAAAAAAGAAACCAAAGTTATTTGGAAAATTTAAGTATGGCACAAGAAAAAAATAATTGATGTGAAACAATTATTAAAGTATATGGTAGGTAAAACAGTTCCCTCAGGTCTATCAGATACAGTAAGAGTTTCAGTATTGATTAGGTGGTACAATTAGGATGCCTAGTGAAGAGATACAGATTAAAACAGCTTAAATAAGTTCCCAAGGTGCATGATCCAGGCTGATGTGGTGACTCTGCTCCATGTAGTCATTCAAGGACCCAGGTTATTTCTGGTTGCTTTGCCTCCCCTACTATGGCGGTCTTATTTGAATGTCAGAGTTAGGTCACCATCCCATGCACATTCCAGACCATAAGAAGGAGGAAAGCGTAAGATGTAAGGGCTTACAAGTTGCACTTGTAACTTCTCACATCGCTCTGGATCAGGCTGATCTTACAGCACATTAAGCTTCAAGGAAGACTGGGACCTGGAATCTATAGCTCTGTGGCTGTGAGCCCAGCTACATTTCTTTGCTACTAAAGAAGAAAATATAGAGGTGAGGGGCATCACTATGTGTATTTGCACATAGGTGAAAACAAACCAGGAAGAAAAAGTTTGGTTTTGACCTAAAATCTGAGTACATACATTGCCATTTGTGCTGGGCATGATGGTGCGTGCTTGTAATCCTAGCACTTGGGGAGGCTGTGGCAGGAGAATCACAAGTCTCAGGCCTGCCTGAGCTACATAGTGAGTTTAAGGCTAGCCTGGGCTACATAGTGGTACTTTGTCTCAAAAAACTAAAAATAAATAGCCATTTGTATGTAAATTGAATAGACTTTAAAAGATTACCAGAAAGAAAATTCTGAGGCATATTTATTTTGGTATTCAGTTGAATAATGAGTCAGTGGGAAAATGTAGTCATATGATAAACTGATAAAAACCTTCTGTTTTTAGGTCTGACACATCTGTAAGTAAACCTCCTGGGGACTCTGTGAGCCAAATCAATGGCGTCTTCTACTACAGTACCTCTAGGATTTCACTATGAAACAAAGTATGTCGTTCTCAGCTACTTGGGACTCCTCTCTCAGGAGAAGCTACAAGTGCAACGGCTTCCCTTACCCCAAGGTATTATCTTTGGCTTCCAGTGGTTACATCAAGTCAATGAGGGCTTCATGTATAGAAGTGATTGCGTCTTAGTGGTTTATATCTGTGGTTATAAGACAGGTAATACTGAAAAGTTTATTTAAAAAAACCCTTAGCTCATCCTTTCTAGCCCATTCGTTCCTGGCCCATTCTGAGAAGCAATTACTTTTAATGTTTTTTGAGAGCTTGGTATTTGAAATGATTGCCATTGATACAGGTGATCATATGCTATGTGGATGCAAATAAATAGAAACCTATCTGTCTTTAGAGACTTTACTTTTTTTTTTTTGAGACAGGGTCTTGCTTTGAAGTGAAGGGATCTCTCTGTGTAGCCCAGGCTGGCCTTGAACTCATGGCAATCCTGCCCCAGCCTCCCGATAGTGATTTTACTCTTAATATGACATGATTAGAATTGTACAATTTCACAAGCCTACAATCCCAGCGTTTGGGAGGCTGAGGCAGGAGGACCACAAGCTCAAAGCCAGCTGGGGCTATATAGTTAGACCCTATCTCAAGAAACAAAAAAATTACATAGTTTTTTGTTTCAGGTACTAGAGACTGAATTCAGGGCCTTGTGCATGCTAAGTAAGCACTCTGTGACTGAGCTACATCCTCAGCCCTCTTTTTTTTTTTTTTCTTTTATTTAAAAAATTTTTTTTGGTAGTGGAGATCAAACTTAGGACCTTGCACTTTTGAGGCAGGTGCGGTGCTACTGAGCTAAATCCCCGGCCCTGCCCTCTTTTATTTTATACAAGGTTTCCCTAAATAGCCCAGGCTGGCTTGAATTTATAATCCTTCTTCCTTAGCCTCTCAAGTAGCTGGGATTGTAGACATGTGTCATCATACATAATTATTTTTAAACTTAACAAAATTAAGATTCTTTAATTGACTTTATTTCAGTGATAATTAGGTTTCTACAATGAATTCGTATGTCTGATAGAAGGTTAGAAATTTTAGGGGCTTGGGATGTTGCTCAGTGGTAGAGTGCTTGCCTGGCCTGGCATGTGTAAGGCCCTGGGTTCAATCCTCAGCGCTGAAAAAACAAACTAACCAAACCAAACCAAACAAACAACAGCCAGGGCTTTGTCCATGCCAGCCAAATGCTCTACTACTGAGGTATTCCATGGCCAGTCCAATCCGAACTTAAAATGCAAGGTTCTGAATTAGTTTTCTTCAGTAAATGTTACATTGTTTTGAGTGTTCTTATCCACAAATTTCTACTGCAGCTCTGGAGGTAGTTCTTATTGTAAGCTCAACAAGGAATAGTGCTGAGAATTCAGAAATGATGAAATCCAAGGGGAGAGATGACAGAAGATACTCTTTTTTTTTTTTGTACTGGGGATTGAACTTGGGACCTTGGGCTTTTGAGGCAGGCTGTGGAACCACTGAGCTAAATCCCCGGCCCCAGAAGATACTCTTAACAATGCTAATATGAACACTTAAATACAACTCTTGGGTGTGTTCTACTTTGGATGTATAGTAATAGGGATGAAACCCAGGGCCTTGTATATGCTAGATAAGTGCTCTGCCACTGAGCCATATGCCCAGCCCCTAAGGTAGATTACTATTTAAATAAAATTATATCAAAAGTGACTTTTTTTTTTCTTAATGTTTGAGACAGGGTCTCACTGTAAGGCAGGCTGGCCTTGAACTCACTATGTAGCCCAGGCTGGCCTCAAACTCACAACAGTCCTCCTGGCTCAGCTTCCCAAATGCTGGGACTACAGGTGTGCACCACCACACCTGGCTGAAAAGTGACTTTTAAAATTCATAAAAGAAAATATGATACCAAATATGTGTAATTTCACCAGACTCACACAAAAACTATTTAACTTTGGGCCAGGGATTTAGCTCAGTGGTTCCTCCACCTGCCTTGCAAGCCAAGGACCCGAGTTTGATCCCTGGTACCAAAAAAACAAACGAACAAAAAAAACTATTTAACTTTTTGTTTTCTAATCTTTAGCAGTAGTGTTTACATAGTTATCAGTTATTTCTGATCTTTATTTTTAATTTAATTATATTTTAAAACATGTTTTCTCTCTTGCATTACCTGTCATTCCTCCATTGTCTATGTCTAAATGACACCCTTTTGGTTTGTTTTTTTTGGAGACAGGGTCTTGTTGTATAGTTCAAGCTGGCCTTGAATTCACTATGTAGCCCAGGCTGGCCTCAAACTGGAGGCAGTCTTCCTGCCTCGGCCTCTCAAATGGTGGAACTACAGGTGTGCATCACCCCGCCTGGCTCTAGTTTTGTTTTAAATCAGTAATGTTATGGTAAAAGTTTGGTTTATCATAAAAAGCATTCTTACTTAGAGCTTTCATTGGAAAAATCAGTTTAACAGGGAATCATGAGTAAGAGCTTATTGGAAATTTTGTGGTTCTAGGGACTAAACCCAGGGCTGGTCTCCACACTAAACTACACCCCCCAGCCCTTTTTTCAATTTTGTGTTTTGAGACAGGGTCTTGTTAAATTGCCCAGGTTGGGCTCAGACTTGCAATCCTCTTCTCTTAGTGTCTCAAGGCTGGCATTACAGATGTGTGCCACCATCCCCAGGTCCAAGTTTATAATTTTTGCATACTAGAAAATACGAATTTTTATTTGTTTTTCAGCTATTAATAGTGTAAAAACCATCCTTAGCTTGTGGGCTCTACAGAAGCATCAGTGGGCCAGTTTGGGCTCAGGGGATTATAGTTTGCTGATCTGTGTAATTTCAGTACAAGGAACATTTTATTACTCTTTTTATTTATTTATTTGGTATTGGGGATCAAGCTCCAGTCCTTGTGCTTGCGAAACAGGCGGTGAAACCACTAAGCTAAATCCCTGGCCCTTATTACTCTTTTTAAGGAGGGTTATTCTTTTTTTTTTGGTACCAGGGATCGAACTCAGGACCTTGCACTTGTGAGGCAGGCACTGGAACCACTGAGCTAAAGCCCTGGTGGTTATTCCAGTTTTGCACAAACTAAATGCTATTACTGTTTTTTATATTAAGGCCAAATGTGTTCCCTTGTTATTTCCATTTGTTACATATGTAATACATATGTATTTAAAATATTTTTGTTTTTGTTTGTTTGTTTCTTTGTTTGGTACCAGGGATTGAACTTGGGTCCTTGGGCTTTCGAGGCAGGCGGCGGAACCACTGAGCTAAATCCCCAGCCCAAATGTTTTGTAACTATTTGAACTTCTAAATTTTTTTCCAATTTTTTATATTAAGGCCAAATGTGTTCCCTTGTTATTTCCATTTGTTACATATGTAATACATATGTATTTAAAATATTTTTGTTTTTGTTTGTTTGTTTCTTTGTTTGGTACCAGGGATTGAACTTGGGTCCTTGGGCTTTCGAGGCAGGCGGCTGAACCACTGAGCTAAATCCCCAGCCCTGTTTGTTTTTAGAGACAGAGTCTCACTTTGTAGTTTAGGCTGGCCCTAAACTCACTACTAGCCCAGGCTCGTGATGATCCTCCTGCCTCAGCCTCCTGAATGCTGGGACTACAGACGAGTGCCACCACACCTGGCTTTTTTTTTCTTTTTGAGACAAGGTCTCACTTTGTAGTTCAGGTTGACCTTGGACTCACTGTGTAGCCAAGGCTGGCCTCAAACTCTTGGTAACCCTCCTGCCTCAGTCTCCGGAGTGCTGGGATTACAGGTGTGTCCCACCACACCTAGTTTGAAAGTATTTTTTTTGGTATGGGGATCAAATTTGGGACCTCGGCAGGCGGCCCCACTGAGCTAAATCCCTGGTCCAGTATTTTATTTATTTATTTTCACATTTCTTATTTTTATTTCAACATTTAAAATATTCACAGGTGGAGTATTATATTCATTGGCATCTCCATGGAAGATGTACCAAACAAAACATACAAGCATTCCACAATTACAGAATTACATATTTGTGATTATGTGCATGTTTACACTACAGTTTATGTGGGAAAACACCTTTTTTAAAAAAAACTTTTGAGTGTTTCATTGTACTAATTTCCATAAAAAATGAACCACAAAGAATTTCAGGAAATATACCTAAATATTAGTCAGCAAGTTTTTTTTAAATTTTGGACTTTTATAGTACTCTGTTAACATATCTGTCAGGAACATTTCGAAAATTAATATTCAATTCTTTCTTTTTTCCCCTCAGTAGACAAGCCAGGATGTACTTTCATTTTTTCTCCCAAGTCTTTGTTTCCATGCATATTACATAAATTAGATTGATCATCACAGCATCTTGACTAGCTAATAATGAGGTAGGAGTATTCTTCAGAAGTTTTTAGGCATATATAGAAGAAAACAAGAAAAATCAAATTATAAAGAGTCTTTTTCAGAAGTTCTTTAAATAAAATGCCAAGAATACTGGAAATTGGCCCAACACTGCTCATACTTTAAAGACAGGAAAATCCCATTAGAAAGCCCTATTAAGTTTATTACAGGCCAAAACCTGAGTACTGATATCAATTAAATTTTTTCCTGGGAGAAATCTAAGGAGTAAAATCTAAACAGAAATTAATAGGGCCAGGGATTTAGCTCTGTGGCACCACGCCTGCTGTGCAAGCACAAGGTCCTGAGTTCTATCCACGGTACCACAAAATAAAACCGACCATTGGGCTGGGGAATTTAGCTCAGTGGCACTGCACCTGCCTCGCAAGCACAAGGTGCTGAGTTCAATCCCCAGTACCACAAAAAAAAAAAGAAGAAAGAAATTAATGTACTCTATCCTTTCTTTTCAGTCCAAGTTGGTTTCCTTTCTTTTAACCCAGTTCTTGTCTTTTTTTGTGTGTGTACCAGGGATCAAACTTGGGACACCTTGCACTTAAGAGGCAGGCGGCAGAACCAGAGCTAAATCCCTACCCCCTTGTCTTTTTTAATAAGTACACAAAGATTAAAAATTTTGGTATATCATATAAAGTAACATAAAATGAATTTAGCAGTCAGTTTACCAAACTGCTACAGAAAATACTCCTTATATGAAGAGTTCATTAGGCTAAACAGCTAG